GAGTACAGGCATAGCTCCATGCCCATTCTCACAGGACTCTTGAGCAGAAGGTACCAAAGCCCCTGGCAGAGGTGGGTGAATCAATGGGTTAAAAGCATCAACACTGTGCCATTTGCATTCTCTGCGGGATAGGTAATTAGCTGAAGTAGGTAATTTTGTGAAAGAAACAGTTTTGACAATAAAGGTGAGATGTGGCAGTCAGACCACAGAGGAAAGAACAGTAAAATGTCTGATACTGCACACAGAATTCAAACCTAAAAATGAAAGCACTTGTTGTACACAGACTGGATAGAATGGCCAGAGGATGAACTGTTACAACAGTTGATTTTGGCACAGAATAATACTTCACTGTACTACTTCCTTCAGGTGAACTCCTGCCAGAAATTCTGCTGGGCAGGATCCAAACTTTCATCTAACCAGGCTCACTGAGCACAAGCAGAGACCATTCAAACTGAGATGGAGAGAAGGAGATTAAAAATATAAACCACCACTTCCTCCAGGCCTCACAGCACAGGATCACCATAAGGACCTTATTTAAAATCCGTGGAAGTCAGTAAACTGGATGCTTCTCACTGCTAACAGGGACACCTCTGTGTATGAGTTGGGGGTTTTACTATCATCTGTCCAGAACATTGATTTCTTTCTCTTCTGTTGGTTACAGCCATGAGAGAGAAGATGAACACGCAGAGCTAACAGTGGCTCACACAACAAGTTGTAGGGTTGGCCACAGGTGATGGCAGTACCAAATATACCAAATAAACTTTCTGTTGGCAGCATTCATACTACTCTCATTAAAATGCTGCAAAATGTTATTTTGCAGAAATGTGATTCTGTAAGGAAAAAAATAAACCAGTTGCTGCAATGTCTTTCTTCTAAAGTCTTCAAAAATAATAAATTGTAACAAAAAGACCAATAATTTAATATGATCAGGACAGAAATCCTTCAGCTCTGACATCTACCCAGTCCTATAACATGAACAGTAATCCTGATTTTTAAAAAAAATCTCTCCATTTGCCTCCTCTCTCACCCCATCAAACCACCAAGCTATTCCCAAACACTTGTACAAACAGGAAGAGGAAACTGAACCGATACCAACATCCTCAGCTTCACAAATTATGTTGCTCCCTTGTGTTGTATCATTTGCTCCTTTCTGAGTCCTGATGGAGCACAAAACATAAGACACATAAGCCTTAGTTCTCAACATTCAGAGCTTGAGCAAAAGGGCCTTACTTTGGCACACTGAACTTTTATCTGCACAAGATTTTAAACGTTGCCATTTCTGATTTCATCAAAATATTTTAGCTCCTTTGTATGCTGTGGCCTCTTTCTAAAAATAGTCTGAGCTTCCTGTCTTGAAAACTGATCTGGCTTCAGGCACAGAAAGAGGTTGATTTGGAAAATTTTTTCCTCTATTAATCTGATACTTCCAGAAGTACTAGAGGACAGTATAACATCAGTATCCTATGAACTAAAAATCAACAATAATGCAGATCAGAGTTGCACAATGACCCTATTAACAAACAATATATGATAACTTCATGTATGTCTAGTGACATCCCATCCTGGATGAGATGGGTCAGGGAAGGAAAAACCACTCAGGTTTAACCTGGTCAAGAAACACATTGAAAATGGGCACAGTTACACTTTTTCCTAATGGACACAGCACTCCCCAGAGCACAATGCATGATGTTGTGTCAACATTTGGCTTTGTTAACTCCATTTGAAGACAACATTGTGATTACAGGAACTATGTTGGAATAATACTGGCTCAAACACTCAGCAGTGTCTCAGTCCTCCCCTTTCTCTTGCTCTGCTAACATGCTCTGTTTTTCACAAGCTGCAGCCTGGCTATTTGCAGACAGAAATTTTTTATTTTTGAGATACATTTTAGGAGTTTTATCTGATTTAAAATGATGAGCAATTTCTCAAAATTCATCCACTTTGACACATATCAGAGAGGGAAAATAGCCCTTAAAATCACTCTTGAAACTACACAGCACTGTGACCAATTCTTGGTGTTGAAAAGCAAGTTGCATTTGAAATCCATGACACAGACTTCCAGCCCTCCCCTCCCTGCTCCAGCAACAGGAAGAACTCGTCTTTCCACCAAGCTGAATTCTAAACTGCCTCAAGCTGCAGTGAGTCAAGTCTTTTTATTAGATTGGTTGAGCCACTGCTGCTTTTTTGCCTTGTGGTTTTTTGCTTTTGACTCCCCTAAAAACTACCAGGAGGATTTGGGGTGGACTTAAAGTGTAGAAAAGTTACCATCTTTTATAACTGGGAAGAGAGAGGAAAACTTTTACTAAGCGATAACTATCCTTGCATGGTATTTATTTGTGTGGTATTGGACATGACAATTGGATATAATTTCCTCTACTGCCAAAGTTTTTCAGGGGTTTTGTTTTGTTGGGTGGTTTTTTTTTTGAAAGGACAAGCACTTCTAGCTTTTAATGTTAATTCCAGACATTCTTTAAACTTGGTTTATGCCCTACCAGGAAGTTTTTATTCTATTTTTCAGCTTTTTAAAACGCTCACATTTCCAAAATGCATCGAGTTGCTTTTAACTCATAATCGACAACAAAGCGAAGCAGGACACAAAATTAAAACAAAGCCATGAAGAACTTGTCATGATCTGGTGTCTAGATACTGAGTTCCATCTGCCTGAGCTGGTGCCTCTCACAGCAATGCACTGTTGGTGCAGTTCAGTTCTCCTTTTGGTGCCAGCCATACCAAGTAGCCTCAAAGTCTTCCTCCTCACTCAGCTGAGCGAGTTAACCCCATCTCCAACCTCCTACACTCTGTTGGGTTGTGTGTGCTTCACCTGGCAACACAACCTGCTCACTTAGCAGAGCTCACAGCTTCCAGACATGCCACAACTTTGGCAGCCACAAGTGACTTCGCTTGGCCTTGATCTAACAGACTCAGGTATGTAACTGGGGAGTTCTACATCAAGTTCTTTGATTTCTTCACAAGGCATTCTTTATCCACTATACATTGTCTCAGTGTTAATTAAAGAGCATACTCTGTAGTTCTGCAAGCTACACACTGCTAGACAAGAATTCTTTTCTGAGATCGTGATTCCAACGCTCATGATTATTCATTTTCCTTCCCTGTTGTGCTAAGAAACCAAAGCAACACTAAAACTTAGCCAAATGCTTTTTAGACATCCGTATTAAAAAAACTTAGCCAACTGTTTTTCAGACATCCATATAAAATACACATGCTATACATGTTCAGGCTACAAGAGAAGCACATTTGAAATTTTTATGTAAATAAAACCAGAATTTCATACATGTTTCTGCTCTTGAAAAAGCTCCAAGATCAAACAGAAATAAAATGCTTGACAGTATTAGCAGGAAGAAGAAAACAAACCAATCCCTGGAGAGACTTTGTAGATCACATCAACTAGTGAGGTGTGACCTTTGCTTACCAGGGACGTGGTCTAGAAAGTCTGGAGTGCAAACCCTTCCTGTACAGGAGTTTGAAAACATTTATGATGGAATATGTGCAAAATGAAAAGGAACCAGCAGCAGAGTATTGCAAGGAAACCCCAAATGCCAGTGACTCCAGTTTCTCTCCCTAGGTAGCCTCTCAGTTCACCACACAGGGAAACACAAGTTGCAGAGCACAAAGTTGAGTCACCATCCACACACTCATATCCTGCCAACCAGCTGTGTGCAGCAAAGCCCTAACTAACTCCGATGCTAAGGAAACAGTTGTAAAAATAATTAGGGTTTTTGCATCAGGAAATACATTTTCCAAGCTCCATCCTCTCCCCAATAAAGCTGCATCCAAACCCAAGCTAAAGCTGCCCTTAAAGAGCACAAGCTTCTCTGGTGGCCTCAACATAAGAAGGACATGGAACTGTTGGAGCAAGTCCAGAGGAGGCCACAAAGTTGCTAAGAGCACTGGAGCATCTCCCTGTGAGCACAGGCTGAGGGAGTTGGGGCTGTTCAGCCTGGAGAAGAGAAGGTTGTGTGGAGACCTCAGAGCAACTTTTCAATCTCTGAAGGGCCTACAAGGAGCTAGAGAGGGACTCTGTGTTAGGAACTGCAGGGACAGGACAAGGGGCAATGGGTTCAAACTGAAGGAGGTAAAGTTTAGGTTAGATGTGAAAAAAAAGTTTTCTTCCTGTGAGGATGGTGAGACACTGGCACAGGTTGGCCAGGGACATGGAGACATCACACCCCTGGAACTGCCTGCAGGCCTTGAATCCCATCTGGATTAAGGCAAGACTTGCTTTAAAGTCTGTTACACTTAGCCTCTTTAAAGTAACTCAGTAACACTGCTGCCCAAAATAACCACACACAAGAACTCCTTCACCAAGAGGGGGAAGGAAGAAACAAACCTGTGCATTTTATTGGCATTGAGGTACAGTCCTGCTACAATTGACTAAAGATGACTTTTTCTTTTCCTTTTTTCAACTAAAATGCAACATAATAAAACCAGAAAAAAAGCTGATTGGTCAGTTAGCTGTAAATACAAAACCTGTTCACAAAACTGAAGAATAACAAAAGCATGGAACAATCTGGTTTGGACATGTAACTACACAGAACTTCACATTTCTGGCTCAGTTTGCTCAAGGTCATAAGAACACGTTTTTCTGAACTATAACTTCTTTCTGCCCAAAGATCCAGCACAAGGGTTGCTCCTGGGCTTAGGAATCACCATGGGTGAAGACACACGTGGCTGACAAAACACAGCTCTCTTAGTCCTCTTCAGGGTAAGAACAACATCTTCCTTTGGGGGAGGCACATGGATAGGCTTCCAGGGAATGGGGTTACAATAGGCTGGAGCTGGATACAAATTTCTATCTGCACACCCTAAAAGATGGAGAAAATACAGTAACTAAAAAGGAATAGCTACATTACAAGCCTCCCAATGCAAACAGCTACAATAATCATCTGAACCAACGCAGACACAACAGCCAAAGGCAGCACAGGTACATGAAAACAGAATTTTATATTGAAATATGAAAGGGAAGGAACCACAAACCAAAGTCACAAGATATCTGTGTACCAACAATACAAACCTGTAGCTCTCCCATTTGGGAAACCAGAACCATTTACAGCAGGGCGTGGTTTATTTCTAGCATTTTGTAGCCATTCCTGAAAGATTTTCTCTGACCTCGTTTTCTTCTCCTGCAGCTCAGCTTCCTGTTCCTTTGCTTTTTCCTAAAGATAAAACCAAATCTAAGACACTTACAAAGCTTACAAAGCCCTGTACAAGATACATAAAATGGCAAACAATTTTTTTGCAGATTTTCAGCCTGCTCAATATATTTCAAATATGCTTCAAGTACCTCTTCCCAACAATGGCAAAGATACTTATTTTCTTTAAGTCAGAAAAATAATAAAATAAAAAAAACCCAACCTCCATGTCACCCCAGTGTTTCTCTGAGAAAAAGCTCAAAGACCACAAACAAAAATGTACTGATATGCATCCTGCTTTGCAGACCATACCCCAATGACTTCAGTGCACTAACTTGGCAACTTTGAAAGGTTTTTTTCCCATGTACACTACAAATTCTAATCATTTGATCAATCAAGCACCACCCAAATAAATGATCAGATCACCAATACCATCTCTTTTTTCTTCTTTGCTGCCTCTTCAGCTCTCTTCTTCTTTAACCATTCTTTATACTTCACTTCAGCCTTTTCTTGTAGCTGCATTTTTTCTAGTTCCCTTGTGGCTTTTTCTGCCATTTCTTTGCTCAGCTTTCGTTCCCTTTCTCTTCTTTCCTACATGAAACAGGACAAAGAAACAGAATAGAAACTTTCCAGTATATTTCAATGAGCACTTCTTTTGAGGAATACAGTTAGTTTAATTACATAACACAAATAAAATTACATAAACCTGAAAATACACAAAATATTGTAAGCTCTCTGAAGACAGAACCTTTTTGTTGCAAAGTTCTAGATGAAACAGCTTTAGCCATAAAAACTTTTCACAAAACATGATAAAAATTTTATTTTCAGATCTCCTTCTATGTTTACTACTCTGTTTTATTTATTCAGACACTTTTTTAAACACCTCAGATGCTTCTCCATACCTCTGGAAAAAAAATAGCTGTTGAAGTTCTTGACAATGGTGTGTTAGTTTTACTTGTCAGTGAATCCAGAGCAAACTAGAGTTCCAACTGAAGTCAGACCAACTCAGAAAAGGAAAATGGCATTGTTTGTGCTGAATAATAGATCTGGTATCTGCTGTGTGCTTTAATTAGGAAAGACCCTTTCTAAACCATAGTAAGTGATTAGAATAGGACTGATTCTGTGGTGGGTTCATGTCAATCATCCAATCAGTTTGGAGACTAAGATTAATTAGCTCAGCTCCAGACACATACTCCAGTGGTTCTAGGCTGAATCTGGAGTTCTGAAATGGTGAAGACAAATGTATGAGGCCTGGATATCTATTTCACTGTTTTGGCATGTTTTGTAGGTTTCAATTAAAGCAGCCATTCATTCAGCAAGCTAAACACGTGGGTGTCCAAACACACTCAGAGCATTTCACACAGGTTTACTTCAGCATGGGATGTGCAGGGATATTTGCAGCCAAAGCAATATTTACCTCCTCTCTTTTTTTTTGGAGCCATTCTCTGTGTTTCTCTTCAGCCATCCTTTTCCTCCTTTCACAGTCTTGCTTTTGCTTCATCTTCTCAAGCCGTATACTTATTTCCTGATGAAAGAAAAGGATACACCTTAAATCTGTGGTGACCCTGCAAACAGTGCTGCAGTTAAAGCAATGCAAGCATTAGATTTGGAGATTTTTCCTTCTTTAGGGTTTTGAAAAATATGGATGACAGTCAACAGAGAAATGTTACGAAACACAATCAATGTCAATATATAATCTGTAGACTACTAACTGGACATATGTATTTGAATTAGGCTTTGGAAGCAAATCAACATAAATCACTCCTCAGCTTACTTAAATGCCCTTTCAGTCAGTGGAATCTTAATTTGCAGCAGTACTTTCTACAACACTTAGAATTCACATGGTGTTTCTGCTCTGCACTCTGGAAGGCATCAACAGCTAAGTGAAATATTACTCACTGGTGATTTTTAGTACCAGAACCACAGGAACCTTAGGGCTTAACCCAAAGCTCATTAAAGTCAAAATTACTGCAGATTTTAGCAAACAGAAACAGGATCTTTAAGAGGAGATAACAAATTCCAAAGTATCTTTATATCACACACAGTATAGATGTAATCACTTCTATCCCTCCAATTAAATTAACTGATAAGGAAAACATGACTAAGAAGACAACTGGAGATGTCTTGCACCTCCAACAGCAGCACTAGCACAAAGTGCTATTTTCCAATGGAAATCCAAACCTGCAAACATAGATAGGTGGACCACATGAGAAGTCCATACACAAACCACATTTTCCATGTAACACCTAAAACTGCTTGGGCTTATGTGTTTTTTTTTTTTTACTTAAAGTCAAAACAAGGAGAGACAATTCTCAAGCTAGAATATAAAGGGAGAGTGGTAAAACATTTGTTGGATATTAATGGATCAAAACATACTCCTCAAGTTTAACAAACAACTTTGGGGATCTGCTGACCTCTACAAGACTGTTCCAGCAGCTTCCAGCAGCAGGTGCTTCACAAACACCATGAGGTATTCCACATAAAACAGCTGTATGCTACATTCACTTTGCAGGTAATCACAGAAAGGTTAGGATATCGTTCAAGGTCAAAGAGTAAATCAGTAACTAAAGTGAGAAACTACCTAGCTTTGATGTCCTTGTTCTAATCACTGCCCAACAATTTCAATCTGATTTTCAACAACACTATCACTTAATCAACTGCAACTGCAAACATATTAATCAAGGTAAGATATACTGCTCTCACTTAATTCTGCCTCAGCCCCAGTATTTAAGACCTGTTCATTTCACAGAATTACAGAATCAACCAGGTTGGAAAAGACCTCCAAGATCATCAAGTCCAACCCTACCGTGGTCACTAGCCCATGGCACTAAGTGCCACATCCAGTCTCAGCTTGGAAACCTCCAGGGATGGTGAATCCACCACCTCCCTGGGCAGCACATTCCAATGCCTGAGCACCCTCTCTGGAAAAAATCTCTTCTAACCTCCAACCTAACCCTCCCCTGGCAGAGCTTGAGTCTGTGCCCTCTTGTCCTGCTGCTGGTTGCCTGGGAGAAGAGACCAACCCCCACCTGACTCCAACCTCCTGTCAGGGAGTTGCAGAGGGTGATGAGGTCTCCCCTGAGCCTCCTCTTCTCCAGGCTGAACACCCCCAGCTCCCTCAGCCTCTCCTCATGGCACTGGTGCAAGGGGGCAACAGATTAAATGAGGGGAGAAGATGCTGAAACAGGGAAACATATCCTGGGAAAGGACACCAAAGAGCTGTATAATTACACACTAAGTGGGTAACAACACTGTGCCTCAAGTGTAACCAAGAGCTTGGCACACTGACAGCCAGCACACACCCTGGGGTGTTCTACTACCTACACCAAGGCCTATGTGCCCACGATGAGTATCAAGGTGCCAATTATATAAATAAGCTTTAATCTTTTAAACTGGAACCATTACCTGACAGTTGGATAAGCAAAATATTACACAGCACCACTCCAGTGAGGCACAACCCTTAGCGAAAGAGAAGGCACAAGACATGAATCACACCAGCACTGTCAAGCACAAACACTACAGAAGCCCAAGACACTAAAATCAAATGGACAAACGACTCATGTTTCCACAACCAAAGGAAAACAAACCCTGTGTTTGCTGTCTTCTTTCAGACAGCATCAAGCCAGTGGCTGTGCTCACCTCTGCAGCTCTCGCTCGCTCGCGGGCACGCAGCTCCTTCTCCTTGCCAAGGAACCATTCTTCCCACGGGGAAAGATTGCCTTTCAACAGTGATTCTTCTGCCCCCACTGACACTTCAGAGTCTCCAGCTTTCCTGAATTAAAAATGAGACATGTAAGGGAATGTTATCTGCAATGTATTTGATTGTCAAGTTAAGCAGTGACACTGTCTTGAAAAATTGGTTTTCTTTTATGGCATAATGTGAGAACAAAGACATCGTTTTTCTACTTGGTCATCTCCATTCTCTCTGTGGTAAAGTTTCCCACCTTAAACAGCTTTCACAGTCTGCTCAAGAAACACAGCTAGCACACAATACCTGATGGTATTATACAAGGCTCCATTAGACTTTTAACAGATACCTTACACAACTCACTCATAACTTCTTTACTCATGAATAATGCAGCAATCCTAGCCCAAGGCCAGAAATATCTTTTATAACATTCTATACACATACTATTTCATAAGACAGTGTGTTAGATTCCAAGTCCACAAAAACTGAAAACACGTCAATAGGTTTCTTTCACAGATTTCTTCTGTCTGACACAGAAATTTTTCTTAACCTCAAAAGAGTGAAACTGGACTTCACTTTAGTATTTTATTGCATATGTGGGCTCTGGAAATACCTACCTGGGTACATACTTCACTACAGTGAGTGATTCTGTTTGCTGAATTTAAGCTGCTTCTTCTTCTGCACAGCAGAGCTTTTACACCACAGCATTGACAAAGACCAAACAGACACAGCTTTTAAACAGGTACAGCTAACAAGGGATGCAATTTAAGAATGCATAAGAACACATTTTGTTAGGAGATAACTCTCTGAAAGTTTATGAAAGATAAGGATAAAAGTATTGTGCATTCAAATCCAGGAAAAAAACCCTACAACTTTGTCCAGACTTGACATTTTGGGCAGGGACACTTCCTCAGCACATTCTTTAGCTCTGCATGATTTGCATGACAGCACCTAGTGCTGAAGCAATGCTGACATATTAAACCACCTTAGAAAAAGTACCAGTAGAAGGAATGAATTAAGAAAACTAATATTTACTCTGTGTTTTCTTGTATCAGCAAGTATTAAGTTCAAGCTGTCAACTTCTCAACAGAATGATTCGCAGTATTAGATTAAAAACTTACTGCAGACAGGTAAGAAATAACAGAAAATGAAGCTCCAAAAGACAGAAACACAAGCTCCATATGAAAACCTGTCAGAAGAAACAATTCCCTTCTCCAGCACTGTGTCTGCACCAGAAGAGGGACTGGAACCCAGTGCAAGACTTGTTAAAATACCTCAGACTCAAGCATACATTTGTTTCTAAATAACTATCTTAAACCAAGTTAGACATAATCTGAAGTCTTCAGACCATCTGAAGTCTGATTAATAGAAAACACTGATTATCATTTCTCATATATTCACTTAGGTCACAACATCAAATGCAACACTGATCCACAATGAAAGTCTAAAAATGCCTAACACCATTGCACCAGGCTTTTATCCTTCCTCTCCTGCAAATATTGCATTTCCCACACTCAGTGTCTGCCTCCAGCTAGTCTGTGTGCAGTTTTAAGAGGACAACAACAAAAAGGTTCTGAGAGTGTGTGCATACTTGGGGAGCAGTGGCTATATATATTTTTTTATGACACTTTTGGGACCTTGACAGCCCCACATGGAAACTGGTCTAGGAACACTTGGTAGGCACTGCCCACAACACAGCAGCAGTGTTGTTCAGCAGTGCCTTTTTAATCATCCTTTTTAATGAGCCTGTGCCAACTCAGGCCCTACAGGTTGTCCTCAGCTGCATCTTACTGCTGCCAGGGAATGCTGCAGCAACAGGCCCAGAAAGCAGGAGCTGTTTCCAGTCGCATCTCGAGCTGCAATGACATCTTGTTTGAACCAAGTGCTACAGAACTTCAAGGCATGTGAACAGAATTGCTTATTGGGAAGTTGACGGAACAGAAAATCTGGAACAGAACGAACCATAAACTGCTTAGTATCTTTTTCTCTCTGAAGCTTCTGCTACGTTCCAACAGGCTTTTCCTGGACTTGTAGCACCTTTTCCAAGAAATGCTTCTAAGAAAATGTTCAGTGTGGTCCATAGTCCACTGCTGCTCTGCACTGGGACCCTGCAGCTGGTGAAGCTCAGCTCTCCTCCTGTTCTCCTGCTCCATTCCCAGTGATGTCCTTGTGACATTCACCATCAGTTCCTTCCTGCACAGGCCTTGGAGCTTTCCATGGCAAACATTCCAGGATACTGCACACACTCCCTGCTCTTCCCCTGTCTGTTTCAAAGAGGGAAATCAGTATTTTTTCTCCTGCCAAGTTGTAGAAGTAAGACATATTAAGTTTGCATGAAATTAGAAAGGTATAAAATGAAGATATAGGAGTGGGAGCTGTGTAATGTTCACACACTGACTCTGGATGCACCAGGCAAAGAGTCCTTTGACAGAGACAGCAAATGGTGGGATTGTTCAGCCTGGAGAAGAGGAGGCTCAGGGGAGACCTCATCACCCTCTGCAACTCCCTGACAGGAGGTTGGAGTCAGGTGGGGGTTGGTCTCTTCTCCCAGGCAACCAGCAGCAGGACAAGAGGGCACAGACTCAAGCTCTGCCAGGGGAGGGTTAGGTTGGAGATTAGGAAGAGATTTTTTCCAGAGAGAGTGCTCAGGCATTGGAATGTGCTGCCCAGGGAGGTGGTGGATTC